CGTCATGTGGAAGAGTATGCAGTTCTGCGGTAGTGGGTGTCTGAAGCTTCCAAGCGTCCTGCCTATGAACTGCAGCGACCTGAACTGCACCGTGTAGTCCATGAGGTACTGCCAATCCTGCATCGTCTCGCTCTTCGCCCACACCCTCACAGTAAGTTTGTCGAGCCGCGTGACACCAGGGCCACAGGGTCCGAGATCGAAGAACTTGAAGTTCGGGTTCATCGCCTTCTCCGCGACCTCGGAGATGTACACCGGGTCGTCCTGGTCCTCCACATGCAGACTGAAAAAGGTATCCGCCATGCGCCCTGCGGTAATATCCTCCAGCTTCTTCTGGCGGAACAGCGGAGTCGCATTGGTCCACTCCATAGTCGAGCGCCGTCGCAGTCCCCTTCCATATCCGGGTCTGATCGCCGTGTTCGGGGTAGGTTCGCGCAAGCCGCCATTGCTGCGCCGCGTGTCCTCGGGAGAGGTGAGGTCGCTCGAAGATCGCGAATGCGCCAGGCCCCTGCCCTCTCTCAGAGCCAGCGCCTTGGTGGGCGACTTGAGCGTACTCGGTATAGCTTCATCGTCGATGGTCCGCCCGCGCGACTTTGGGGGAGACAAGCTAAGCGTGAGGTTGCGGATGGTGATGCCTTGGAGGTGTCTGAGTTTGCGGTTCTGAGTAATTATCAGCGACTAAGACCCTTGTATTCTCGATGCGCATACATATGCAAGCAGCCACGGGCGCTCACGTGGTGGAGACTTGGGCTCGGCTGCCTGGGACTCGCCGGCCATTACGTCGCTGATCTGGTTGATTGGCAGGGGCGGGGACAAAGTGTCTTGGAAGGGCTTCTCATCGGATCATTATGAAAAGTGTTATCAAGCGCCCCAGCAATCGCAATGACGCAGCGCATAGTAAAGCTTGGAAGCTTGCTGGTGAACGCGTGTTTGGAGTTCCCAGCTGTCGTATTGGATCAAGCGGACCTCCGCGGCCTGGCCCGTGCTTTTTGAGCCTCGCAACTTTCATCCACCACCATCGCGGCGGCCATTGGCATCACCACCCCGCCGCCATGCCTCGAACTCTTGCCCGGCTACGGTACAAGCCACCACTACAGCCCATTTCTCTTGCCAGCCCCACCGCCGCCAGCCGCGTCACCCCTCAGCATGTTGCGCATATGCAAAAGCAGATCGCTGCATATGTTGAAAGGCAGTCAAATCCGCAGCACCTCCGCATCCAGACCGTTGTAAACGAAAAGGCGAGACGACAAGCGACCGCCCAGCACGTAATCTCACCGGTCAAGCCCTACACTCTTCGTGACGTCGTGGACCCGGAGGGCACTGCCAAGCACGGCGAGATCATCTACATTTTCCGCAACACCAAGTCGAATCAGATCATCTACTCGCTGCAGGAACTATTGGATGTATGGAGAATCCGCAATTTACTACTTTCAATGCTAATTTGTAGAACCACCACCTCGAACAACTTCCCTTCATTGGCAAGCACTCGAAGCCACCCGCCCTGCGTCCAGACGAATGGGTACCCCACTGCGTCCTCACCTTCCCCACCCCCAGCCAAGGTCAGAATGCCTTCCGCAAGCTACGCGAGTTCCGCCGACTGCACGAGACCGCCTGGGACAAGACGAATCCCGAGTTCAAGCGCATGGACAAGAAGACGAGGGTCAAGAAGATCATGGACCAGCGCGCCAACACCAGCGCCGACTTGGCCGAGGTGCTGCGAATACAAGAGGCGCATGGAGCCAAGACGGCGGAAGAGCAGGCAGAGCAGGAGAAGAAGGTATCGACTTTCCTCGACAAGCGGTGGGAGCAGATTGACGCCCTGGCGAATGCGGGGCTGGCCAAGACGAAGCCCACGGATAACGTCAAGTGGCTGCAGGGCCAAATACGGTCCATGGACCACAAGCTGAAGATGAAGCACCACCAGAACGAGGCCGATCAGAAGAGCATAAAGGCTGCCAAGGATAGCCTCGAGACCCGCCTGGGGAAGCTGCAGTACGCTCTGCGAAAAGCGGAGCAGTTCAAGAACATGCAGGAAGATTTGACGAAGCGATCAGCGCCCGCCAACGAGCTCGGTGCTGAGACGAAGTTGTACGAACTGAAAGTCCAGGCCCGCGCCCTGCAGGAGGCGCTTGACAACCCCGATCCTACACGTTCCGAGGCAGACCTTGAGCTGGATCGTGATATTCTGGCAGGTCACCGCGCTGAAATCACCACCCTCGAGCAGGCTTTCGAAGCAAAGGCCCAGTCTAAAGTCGGCAACCACTACATCGCCCGCTCCGTCCTGCCCAAAGCCCTCAAGACACCCCCCGTCAAGCCCTACACACTCGAAGGTGTGAGCGTGCGGTGGGCCGACATTCAAGACGCCCTGTATGCAGCCGGTAAGTGGCCCGCGGCCATCGAGCACGAGCCTCTAGAGATCAACAAGGCGCGCGGCGAGACGTTGATGCTTTCTGCCGAGGAGTACGAGGCTGAGAAGAATATCGAGATTGGACGGGTTATGGATGCGCTGAATCTGAGGGAGGGCGAGTATCTGGAGGAGAAGGACGGGCTGAAGAGTTCGTTCGATAGCCCGGCACTTAAGAGCGGGATTGCCATGTCGATACCGCGGGATACGTTTAAGAGGGCGACTGTGTAGGACTGGGTGTATAGTATGTAACAAAGTATCTTGTCTATGTACTTTTGCTCACATGTAAACGCATGCTATTCATACTGAATGCACCGCGCTTGTCTGCACCGGGTCGCCTTTTTGTTCGCACCTCCATGTCATCACATTGGCAAAATATCGTTTTGGTCGCTCGCCATCGCCGTTTTGCTGCCACACCGCAATGGACATATTCTTTTGGACAGAACTTTTGCGCGTCATTTGCCTGCACTTCGCTTTGGAGGCGAATGAAATCAAGAAGTTTCTTCCACCATCTCCGATTATGAGAACTGCCGCGGAGAAAGGGACGGACATCCATAGCTCAGTCAAGCATTTTGGTTTTCCGATAATACAATGCGGCATAAAGTGCAGCGGTCGATCATGCCCTTTGAATGTGACATTTTGAAAAGCGAGCAGCGCCATCAGGCTTTTCCCTTCTATCTTGGATCGCGTTTCAAAGAGACAGGAGGCCGACGTAGGACATGTACCGAACGACGACCTGTTTTGGACAATGCACTCTGGGAGTGTGTGATGAAGACAAGAAAGATACCAAGGTGGAGTAAGCGTTATCAAACGCCATGGATATGTACGTGTGTACTTTGAACAAAAGCCGAGCTTCGACTCGGCCACATATAGCTGATGATCTGATTTTTTTGGTGGAGTCAGGTTTGCGACAAAGTCCCAGAAAACAGAGACATCGAACCTCGTCTCCATGTATTTTGGTGAAAAGTAGAGGTCGTGTGTGTATAAGCAGGAAGGGAGGTGAAGATAGCGTTAAGTTTATATACCCGCACTTCGGAGCAGCGCTGTCATACACATGCCTGTTGCGTTTTTAATAAAGCAATCGCGAGAGCGCGCAACGAAGGCATAAAGTACTGCGCGTTGACTTTAAACAAACTTCCATGTCTCGCGTTGCTACATCGTGTGTAAGTCTCATGCTTTTGGGTCGAACCGGAGTTGCGACGAAGGCGCGGAGAACGCAGACATAGGTTCATTGGCTTCTCTTTTTGGTAAACAACCTGGGTATTGTGTGGATAAGAAGGAAGCCTGTGAGAGCCGCGTGAGCTTTGTATATCCGCACACTTGGGCGGTGCTGCCATAATCCTATCAGGATGCGTATTCCGGTGACAGTATCTGAGCTCGCGCAAGGAAGACATGTCTTTCTACTGGAGTCTATTGTACAAGCTCCGCGTTGTGCTTCGCACATTTAGTACACGTTGGGACTTTTGAGTCGGGTTGGACTTGGAGACGAAGGCACGGAAGGCAGAGACATGGCCGATTCAAACAGGCGCTTTTTGTAAAAAGAAGTTTTGATGTGGAGGTAAAGAGAGAACGTTGCACAAAGAGCGAAGGTTTTATACTCGCGCAGGCCATTCAATCAACTACGTCAGCCCTTTCTTGTCGGCTTTTGGAAGAAAGCGAGGAGTGTCGATGGTGAGCTCGTTGCGCAAAGGGTTATGTGACACACTGAATATCGACGTCTTGCTTTACACATGAGACAATTCTGGTTGTTTTTGATTGAGTTTGCCATATACAAGAAAAGCGCAGAACCCGCAGACATGTAAGGCATTCATTGGGGGTTTGAATAAGAAGAGTGTCTCTTTTGTAGGTGAGGAGAGAGGTGTCGGAGACAGCGGGATATATTTTATACTCATCTGACGACTCGGAACACGTTTCACACGATCGCAGTTGATTTTTCGACGTCAAAACTGTGTAAAAGCCGAGAACAAGCCGTGCGAAGTTCATCACTGTTTTTGAGAGTTCACGAAGGCCTCGAAGATAACCGAAAAATGGATTTACTGCCAAAACTCTCCATGAGCTTTCCGCTCGTGGATTTCGGTCTGTGTCAAGATTTTTGCACTCGCTCTCATGACTACTTCAACTCTCTATTTTGGGTAAGGCGGACGGAGGCGGACATAGAAAGCATTCTTGCAGTTTTTGAAGTGCTTTGAACAACGAAAAAGGCTCGAAAAGATCATCATAGAGAAGAATTGACGTTTTGGCGAGTGACATCGAAGTGGTAAAGTATACAAGAGAAGGACACAAGATCGCGACGAAGGGCTTTTGAAGCACGAGATCATGTCTGGTATTGGGCTCCTGAGATCGTGTTCACAGAGTACCGACCTGCTCTCACGTCCTTTTACTCAAGCCTTGACAGCGATAACACGATTATATGCGAGCTCAAGCAAAGTGTGACAGGGTCCACGAAGAGAAGTATGGCCTGAACCATACATAGAACCAACATAGAGCGCCGTAACATGCATTTTCGTAAGATTAGTTGTCATTATGCGAGTAGATACGCGGCAGGTCACCGTGTCTCCACCATTTTTCCAAAGTTCAGACTTTTTACATCGACCGTGAGTCATTCGTTTGCCTTTGGGCGGAACATATCCTTGACCAACCGCGAGAAGTTTGTGCGACGCTGAGGGATAGTCTCACTATGCGTGCTCACCGCGTCCTTCGCCCTGTCGATAAGACGTTCCATTTTCTCACGTAACTTCGCGTCTTGAGTCTCCGCGCATAGCTCCTTCAGCTCATCCATTAGGCTCATCGCACATTCGGCTCTCTCTCGAATGGTGTTTTCAATCTGGACACCGGCCGCGATGAGCCAGTCTCCCATCGTCGTGGCATTGTTCACGCTCACTTCGTACGAAGAGTAGCTCGCGTCAAAGAGAAACATCTCCAGCTTTTTGTCTTTGTGGAGTAGCGAATGAACTCGGTGCATGCGGTCGAAGATTCTGCCTCCGGCCCACCTGAGAAGCTTACCGTAACTGAGGTGAAGGACGTCCGCTTCAGCTGCTTTGATAGCAAGCTCAGTCTTTGCATATTCGAAGTTGCACCAGTTCTCGAATGATTTACGCCAGCGCGTCAACTCCGTCTTTGAGCTCCGGATGTGGATTTCGGGGTTTATGCAGATCGGAGCGGGCAACTTAGCACAACGATATGCAGAGCTAGCAATATCTTGAATACCGTCAACAAGCAGCTGAAGCTGAGCAGAATGTTCGCAGCGAATCTGCACATGTCGTGCTTGAAGCCAAGAGTTGAAGAGGGGAGCATGGTCTTCCTTTTTAGGTAGGGTGAGATGGCTCACATCCATTTCTAAAGTGTCATATACGCTTCGTACGAACTGCGTGGTGCCAGTTACTATACTGTCTCTGTCAAGTTGGAACCGAACTAGCTCTTTTTCCAGATGCGAGACCCTCTCGGTGTGTTTGGCTATACCCAGCCGCAACTTGGCAGGCAATGTCCCAAAGAACTCAACGGCGCTATCAGCTGCTGCGCTGTCTTCTGGTACCGACTTGACAGCTTTGTCCGCTGTTTCGCTGTGCTTCCATTCCGGCTTGTCGACGTTGTTCTCCTCGAAGAGGTCCTGGAATATCCTGTCGACGGCCAAGGTCGTTCGCTTACGTGTCTTGATGGCATCGTTGGTAAGCCTGTGGAGCTTGTGGATGCCTCCATCGATCTCCTTCCAGCGTGATCCCAACCGGCGGCCGTAGTTGTCCTTGTTCGGCACCAATTCTGAATCGGCTCCGCCGACACGCTCGACAAGAGCGTTCATTACTTCACTTCCTCTGATCATGAACTGGTCAATATCCTCTTCGGCCTCTCGACGTTGTTGTTGTACCCCTTGCCGCAGAGCGCCCAGCCGTTCAGCGACGAACTCTTCCGCAGTCACAGCGTTGGCAGCATCGCCTTCCTCGTAAGTTTCAGGCCAGTCGTCCGTGGATATGCTCGCAGCGATGAATACGTCATGGACGAACTTGTACAATGTATCTCGTAGCCGGAGCGCGACAGGGTCTCGGCTTTCTGTCGCCATGGTGTTTCGTGTTTTGCGATTCGTTATACGGTGAGGTGTGGTCAGATGTGGGACAAGGGCGGAAGACTGAGGGAGGGGCAGAGATGTGAGAGACGAGTTCGAGGCAGGTGCGAGGCAGGTGCGTAGAAAACACCCGTGGACTGTGGCTGTTACGCTAGCGACCGCATACCCGTGCAATTTGGTCAGATCCGCTGCGAGTTTCGTACATAATTACGCAGCATGTAGTCAAATTTAGATGCATTGCCGGAGCATCGACTCGATGTATTCACTATGAGCTACTTGGGTATCTCCTCGCGCTTCCAGGTGAAGCGTTCCTTCCCACGGGTATCTTCCATTAAAGAGAGCCATCGTTTCTTGTCTCAGATAGTGCACCTTCGGGTCTGAATCAATACCGGCTCGTCTATCAAGTCTGACAATGCACGCCCAAAGCGCATCATCTGTGCAACACTTCGTAGAAAGTCTACCCCCAATACCGATACGAAACCAGCCGCCCAGCCGCGCCATTGTGTGATGGTATCGAGATCAGCCGTCAGTCTTCTGAGCAGCGAGCTGTTCTGCGGACCTGCGACACTATCAATAGTCTGGCGTGACTAATCTTTATTATTACTCACTTGCTGTGCGCTTCGAGGGAGGCAGCCTCATACTTGATATCGAGCTCCTCTTTCTGCTGCTCCGCAGCGTGCTTTGCTTCCAGATCTGCGATCCGCTTGGCCTCAAGCTCCTTACCCTTCTTTTTCATTTTGGCGGCGTGGAGGAGACGAGCGCAGGACTGCTCTGCTTTGGAGAGGTCGTCGGCGTGACGTCTGAATAAGGCAAGTTCCATATCGAGTTCCTCCTGGAGAGGTAGAGGTGGGAAATCAGTTCATGTCTCACGCGTTTCGCACAGTCAAAACTTACCCTGTGCTTCTTCTCGGCGTCTGTAGGTTGGTAGGGCTGCGCAAGGGCGAGGAGCTCTTGCCTCCTTGCGAGTATATCCTGGATATCGGACATTGTTGTAGGAGCGGATGGGTAGCGGCTGCGGGTGTGGTAGAAAATGGATCAAGATGCGGAGGTAGAGGTGTCAATTGCGCGTGGTTTAGCACCGACTACACAGTTCCAGGCAGGCGCGCTAAGAACTTTCCAAGACCCGCCAACGCGTCCAAGCCTCAATCTATGGAGTGAAAGAGTGAAAGATGAACCGCCAACGCAGGTTCTGCCAGAATTGGCTAACTTCCAAGGCAGGCTGTTACATGAATATCATTGGTGGTTTGTAAGCAAGCAGTCTCTGGGTCAATGTACACTTCGGGCTATATCATGTCTTCAGCCACCTTTGTGAAGACGTCGATAACTCGTGTGGAGTGAGATGAGTTCCCATCGTGTCCGTATTTTATTGAGTCATACCAACGAGCTCGGTAAAGCGATCGAGCCAGTATCACAGAAGAGGTAGTTTACGAGAGGTTCGCTGAATCATGAAGACGACTGGAATAGCTTTTGGTTTGGGGCGGACTCGCAAAGACCAAATCTCATGATCCACTTCTGTGAAGATTTTAGTATGCCCCCAACAGTGAGGAACTTCAAGTGATCTCTTCGCTCCCAGTCGGAAGGAAGTAAGAGGCTTAAATAGTCCAGGGCTTCACAGCACATCGAACTTTGCCTTTTGCATTTCAGAGTGTACTATGCGAGGACCGAGCTGTTGAATCACACCTGATTGCTTCAGCAAGTTCGAAAGGGCTCGCACCGGAGAGCCAAGTCATGGCTTCTTCTTCCACGAGTTTTGGTAACATCGCACGCAATGCGAGAGCATATCGGTACTTCTATTTCGCAGTGCAAAGGGAAGGGAGATACTGGCAAGAGGACGACATAATATGGTCTATCTGCAATTTTGGTGTTATAAACACACCACAAGAGTGGCACAGACACACGAATGGGTGTATGTCGCGTTTTGAAAGACAGAGACAGGAGAAACAACCCCATCATATTCTGTTCGTTGGTTTTTCGTAAATACCCCCGAAGTGCGAGGACGTTTGGTGTTCGTCTCTCTTACGGCCAAGTAAAGATTGAGATCTCGACGAGCGAACGCCATGTCGCCATTACGGTGTCGTTTTGATATCGAAAGAACGCTGCGAGTTGTGCAGAGAGTTTCAATTATACAAAGTCGAGAACTGTTTTTTGGAAGGCCGCGCGAAGCCGGCTCATAGTAGTGTCCGATGGCGAGTTTTAATATTTCTCAAATGTGGAAGATGTTGTAACAGTCTCGGACTCTCTGCTCCAGTAAATGTAGTTGAGGAATTAATGATCATCGAGGTGGGGACCCATACTGAGCTCCTGGCGCTGTTTTTGGAAGACGATACCATAGACGTCGATCAAGCTGACTTTGTAGACCAGGATCACGTCACAGCAAAGTTGCACACGCATAAGAGGGTCGAAGACCACGTTTTGGAGAACGAGAGAAGGACGCCAACTTCATGAGATTTTGATCTTGTTCTTTTTGGCGGTTTCGCAAAATGAGGAGAGAACTAAGGACATTCTTCGTACGCAGAGAGGGACATATAGGGTGTTCCGGAACGAGCTGCTTCCAAAGCGACTCAGGTGGTTTTTTGTTCCGCTGCGCTTGACGCGGCGAACAGCGCAAAGAACATGAGAAGCCCGTACAAAAGTTCTGGAAGTAAGACATTTACATCGACTTTCCATGCAACGCGCTTTCACTGGTCAAGCGGCGTACAACATACAAGGTTAGTGACGGCTTTTTGAAACATTCGCACTGCAGACTGAGGCGAACACGTGAAAATCTTTGATGCCGATTTCAGAGCGCTAGAACCGTATGTATACCTTAAAAGCTATCTTAGTTTTGATATTGAAAGCGCGAGTTGATGCCAGCATACTCCTTGCCTCTATGAACTTTTCGAGAAGACAGGCGTTTGAACTTATGTCGTCGCTAGGCCTAGAGTTTTGGAGGTTGAATGCACGCAAGAAGGCGAGCACATATATTGGAAATGCTGGAATTTTAAGAAAGACCCGCAGGAGGGAAGTCATAATCTTGGTCATCTAAGTTCTGGATGTCAAAAAGCTGAAAGCGCAAGGACAGGCGGAAACATGAATTCAACGGCTTGCTGATTTTGAGAAAGACCAGGAGCAGGAGTCATTCGCATGACCATGTTGAAATTTGATGTTGGCGGTGACAAGGACGGACCAGGACATGGCTTCCAAGGATGTTGATTTTGGGAGAACCAGAACCAGAAATCATGAACATCTCATCTCTGGTTTTCGGCGTCGATGTTGAAACCGGAAGAGAAGGCGAGCACATCGCCGTCGTCGTTGCTGCTTTTGGAAATGCCAGACCGGCGAAGTCATCATAACTGACTCTGTGGTTTTGAAAAACGAGGACTGGAAAGTGTGATGAAGAAGAGAAGAAGGACGGCGCGGAAGAGAGGTTTTTATACCCCGCTAGACCCCGTGACTGCAGAAACAAGACAGGGTGAGATGAACGCCAAACCAAAATTCCATTTTTGGAAGCAACGATGCGCCGAACCTATGCAAGTAAACCAGACGACGCGCCGCCCACCTAGCCCGTTACCCATCCCAATACATAGAGTTTTGCCGTACATACATCTTACAAAAAACATACAAGAAACATAACATACACCTCGTCTCCAACTCTTTTGCCTTACACCCTCGCACTCCTCACCGAACTCCTCGGATGCTGCCCATAACCATAGCCACCGTTCGGCCACCACTCGCTTCCAGTCCCAGCTTTGCCCTTGGCCTTCGTGCTTGCATTCGCGCGCTTGTATATCTCTTTCCAAGGATCACTCGCAGCAGACTGTTTGGCCATTTTATCAAACTGCTTGATCTCCTTCTGGATCTCGCGGTTCTCTTGTTCGATGTCTGAGACCTCGTTGCCAGCTGTACTTCCACTCTTGCTCTTCGTCTTGTTGGTGCTGCTGCGCGGTGCTGGCGTCGCACGTAGCGGTTTCAAGATGTCGCGCAACTCCTGATCGGAGGAGGAGATTTGCGCTTTGAGATACGCCATTGCTGTTGGGTCGCCGACTGCATCGCCTCTTGACAGAGTGGCCATGATCGGCGTTCGCGGGGTAAAAGCGTGGGTGTACTTCTCTGGCGTGGGCATATCGGCCTCGCTTGGAACATACTTGGGGTCAAGCCGCGCTTCGTCGCCCTTCTCCAACAAGGCCATGATATCCAAACTCTCGCCATGGGGAATCTTCTCCTTGTTACTCGGCGTAATGCAGTCCATGTCCACCTCCTTTCGTAAGACGTGATCGATGTCGACGGCGGAGAAGTAGGCGCAGGATTGGGGGAGCTCGTTGATGCCCATTTGCTGGCTGAACATTGCGCGCGTCCAGACATTGGCAACTTGCAGCGCCATTGCAGCTCTGTACCGATCTTCCTCTTTGACGAGGTACCGGATTTCGTCGTGAACTGTAATTGCGAGGCGAGCGTCGAGACCATATCGGCGGGTCAGGTAGTCCATGGATACGATGAGGAGGTGCAGGTAGTCGACGCCGGAAGACTGAATCGCCCAGTTGATTCGACTCGTCATAAAACCACCCTTTGATAAATACCGCCGTTGCAGGGCTTCGGTGATGGCAGCGCCTAGGACAGGTGTGCGGGGTCGTTCTTGTTCAGCAAAGTCTTCCAGCTTGTTGAACACAAAAGACTCAGTACCACCGCGCCAAAAGGCTCGTTCGTGGAGTTGTTTCCGGTTAGTTTTCTTGCCCTTTGTGTTCTTGTAAAGATCGTCCGCTGTTTTGGATGTTTGCTCGTCCGACAAGGAAGGGTTGAATTGGCGAAGGAGGGTAGACGCGAACTTCAGTCCTGCACCGTAGATACGCCCGTAGTTAAAGACTTTGGCGTCGTTACGCGAGATGCCCAGAATGGCGGCTGTGCGAGAGTGCAAATCAGTCCCCGCCGCCTTGGTACCCTCCAGCGTCATGAAGCCGACAGCATTGCCGCCGTGGAGTTTGAACGTCGCATCGCCGATCAAACTAGCAATCCACAGTTCCTGCGAGTCGACATCTGCACCAACAAAGCAGTAGCCTTGTGGTGCTCGTACCATTGACTTCAGCTCCGATCCGACGCGATTCTTCTTCGCGTTGCTAGCCGTAAGCCATGTATTTTCAACCGATCTCCGCGTGACGGTGCCCATTGGTATGATCTGTGGAAGGATGAAGCCGACCTTCTTCCCAGCACCTTTGCCGGATGCAGATACGAGTTTCGGCGGATTAGGCACTTCCTTGTTGTAGACAACCATCTGATTCGTGATTCTCTCCCTCGCGCTGATCCAGTACGAACAAGATGCGTTCATCTCCAGTGCTTCCTTGGCGTACGCATACTCTGAGCCGAGCTTACCCTTCTCGAAATACTGCAGATAGCCCTTGGCGAGGGGGTTGGCGCATCTTGCGAGCGGTCCATCTTTGTGTGGGATCTTGTAGTAGACATACTCGCTGTCATCCCGCAGCTTCAGGTTCTCTTCCTCAGACATGTCCAAGACCTTCAAGCCCTTGTCGTCGTAGGCAAAAGCCTCATCCACGGGAACTTTGTACGTCCATCCATGCACGTCCGACCACACTAGAGGATTACCATCCCAAGCCAGCTTCAACAGAATCGGCGTGATGCGTGTGCGGACCGTAAGAGCCATCGGGGCGTCGTTCTTCGCAAACAAATCCTTGTACCACTTTGGCATTCCAGGTTTCTTCTGGCGGGCTGCTGGTCTCGGCGGATCACCCTTCTTCTTACCCTTGACCATCTTGACCTCCTGCCCTGACCAGTCCAACTGACTCAGCCATGGGTCGTTTTCATACACCTCTGGCTGATCCTTGACTCCTAGCGCTTTCTCCGTCAACGCCACCAAGCGCTCCTTCACAGCATCGTCGAGCTGTTTGTATGTCGCTTCGGCGTTGTTGATATACGCATCCCACGTCTCGTTGACAGGTAGAATTTCGGCAGCCAGAAATCGCAATGCGGCAAAACTAACAGGATGCGGACATGTTTCGAGGAACAGCGGAAAGACCTTTTGATATACACGATGCGTGATTTCTACATCAGCAGCACAGTAGGAGAGCAGGTCGTCCAGCATATCATTGACAGCCGCACGGTCTTTCTCACCAAAGTACTCCCTCTGCGCCTTGTCGAGTGTGATATTGCAATGAAACTTGGCCACATCCCGTAGCGAGTTGATTGCGCTTCTTCCCATCCACAGCTCTTCCTCAGTCGGAGGAGCCAAGACCGTAGAGAGACCTGCATTCTCCTCATCTGTGGCTGCCTTGTCTTGCTTCTCCTGATCCTTTCTATTCTTCATCCACGATGGGCGTTGGCGCGAGCACATGCCGTTGGAGGCTACATGGAGGGACATGGTATCGACGAACGCGTTTTTCGATTGAGCGATATTATACTCTTCCGCTATCCTAGCCCTGTCGTATCCAATGTTGTGTCCGACGATGACGCGGGGGACTGAGGTGTCGCCGAGTGGGATGAGGTGACGATCCGACTTGGTCTCGCCCAGCAGCCACGGCGATAACCAAGCATACCAGGCGGTAGGACTGGCGGCACATGCCATGCAGGCGAAAGGCGTCACTTTATACATGACTTCGGTGTCGAATGTAAGCATCGTCTCGTCAGGCGCATCCACAGCTTCCGTCGTGCCGTCGCTATTGTACTTGGTCCAGCCGCTCTGTCGCACCCATTTGGTCGGTTTCGGTGGAGGGTTCGCCCATGCCAGCTTCTTCGCCATGCTCAGGTACGGTTCTGCCGTGTCCATGCCCAGCTTGTAGAAGTGCTCGTCGAGGCTGGTCCCTTGCAGTTCCGGCAGATCAAAGCCAACCGGCGGGGTCTGGTCCTGGTTCTTGCCGAGTAAGTCATGGCGGCTGAGGTGGTCTTGCGACAGTGCGACGAGTTCGGGTGGTGGTTGGGTGCTTGCGCCGGGGAAGACCTGCGAGTGGATGTGCGAGGAAAGATGCTGAACGCCGATGGGACTGAAGCGGGCTTCCGAGGGGACTGACAAAGACGCATTGACTGTCGCACCACTCAGACTGCCCCCTGCATTACTACCGTCCGCATCCGGAGATTTCGTAGACTGCACTGTGGCGAGACATCGTTTGGCGGCGTTGGCGAATTGAGATTGCGCATGGACGGGTCGCGGGCGGGCGGCGTGGGCGGCAAGGGAGCGACATGAACAGCGCATCGTCAGACTGGAGTACGGCGGTCACTGCATGGCGTCGGCGGGTTGAATTGTCGTAGTTGAGGTTGCAATTCGGTGTCGTCATGTTCAGTGTCTAGTTCACCCGCAGACTCTTGGCGCGGTGCAGTTCCCCTCAGCCCTACGCGATGCATGATATAGCACGCCCGAGCCCAAGAGCGGCCGCTGCTTTTGCGTCACCAAGCCCCCGGGACTGCGACACCATGCCCAGACCAGCAGCTGCTCAGATGGTGAAGGAGCACGTTGCCCTTCCTGACCTGCCCGCCCCCTCGGCCTGCGCTCGCCACCATGTCGGCCGACCGCTCTCACAGGGACGACGATGACATAACCCACCCACTCGACGACGCCAACTTGGACACCCCCGAGAGCCACCACCACAACCACTACTCCCCTAGCCACTACTCCCCCGAAGCCTTCGACTTTGGCGAGCTCTTCGGCCACTACAGCGCCCCCGCCGACGACGGCCACTTCGACGACGTCTACCGCGCCCCGCCCGTGCCCTACTCCACCGGCTTCTTCGATCACATCCTCAACCCAGCCGGGCTCGACCACGGACGCTATTCACCCTTCGCTTGGCGCCCCTACAGCCCATTCACCGGAGACATGCCGCCCGTCACACGCGCACGGCCTGACCGTCTCGCAAATGGCTACGTCGACCTCACAAGCGCCCCCGAGTCACCACCGCGGAGAAGGAAGCCGCAGTCGCCCACCCCGGGCCCTTCAGCAAAGCGCCAGAAGCGGGACGACGGATCAGCTGCGGAAGTCAAGCAGCAGAGCGCCGAGCCCGAGAAGATCGAAGAGCTCGACTTGACGGAACAGAAGACGCCGCTGCAAGAGGCCCTGCAGAAGCAGCGCGAGGATGCTGTCAAGGCGCAGGCAAAACCAGAGGAGACCGTCACCACCTTCAACTCGTTCAACTGCGTCATCTGCATGGACAACCCTACAGATCTTACGGCTACTGCGTGTGGTGAGTACAATCCATACATCTCAAGTGTTTCACTAATTGTCCAGGCCACCTCTTCTGCCACACATGCCTCATGGAAGCCCTCATCGCCGGCGAGAACCGCACCGGGCCCCACGAAACGAAGCGCTCTCAGTGTCCCGTCTGCCGAAAGACCATCAGCCGGAATAAAGCGACGGATGTCATACCTCTACTACTGAAGAAGGGTCTGGCCACACAGCCGAGGAAGAAAGTGGTTGCACCCGCTGCAGCACCCGCACCCAAGGTAGCTTGAGCACTTGATTGAGCACTTGGATTTTGTGATACTGTTATTGCCACTTGGCTTTATTCATGGGACGTAATGCTAAGCTCTCGTAGCCAGTCAAGACAACCAAAACAGCCAAGAAACAGCCTCAACGCCTACCGCGAACCACGACGCGTCGCACGAGACGGGACGACGACGTGGAGTGGGTGTGAGACGGTGGAGTGGATAACATGGGAGGAGGATAGTACGGGCTGTGAGAGAATGGGGGTTGTGATGAAAAGCTGAGGCGGGCCATGTTCTGGTAATCCACCATCGCGACTTCCTCACCAGCGTATCGATAGGCCGGTTGTCTACGGACTGAATGCGTACTAGCGCCATCACGATGACGTACTTCAATATCTTGTACTACCAGATTACAGAAGAAGAAAGAACTCTGAACCCACCAAGTATCCCCGTCAACTACCAACTCGCCTCCACCTCTCCATTCCAGTCAATTGTTCTACAATCCCATAACCTACCACCCAGCATGTCAGACCCCAAAAATACCTCCTCCATCGCCATCCTCGGCGCCGGCGATGTAGGCGCTACAATCGCATACAGCCTCATCATGAACCCCGTCGCCGGTGACATCCTGCTTGTCGATCCCAAAGAAGAAGTCAGGGACGCGCAAGTCGCCGACCTTTCTGATGCGACCTTCTACGGCAACACAAGCACACGCATAAGAGCAGGTACACATAAAGAGGCGGGTCAGTGCGATATCGTTGTTATCGCCGCAGGTGCGAAACAGAAGAAGGGCGAGAGTAGGACGGATCTTATCGGTCGCAACAAGTCCATTCTTGAATCCGCAATCTCGGATATGAAACCGTTCCGCGAGGATACGGTCCTTCTGCTAGTCGCAAACCCCGTCGACGTACTCACCTACTTCGCCCAACAATACTCCGGTCTCCCGAAATCCCAGGTCATCGGCAGTGGCACCTTCCTCGACTCAGCGCGCCTCCGCGGGATCCTCGCCTCCAAGGCTGAAGTTGCGGCCTCCAGCATCGAAGCGTACGTCCTGGGTGAACACGGCGAATCACAATTCGTCGCCTGGAGTCTGGCTTCCATCGGCGGCGTTCCGCTTTCCTCCGCTTTATCGTCGAAGCAATCAGGCCAGCTAGATAAGAACGCCATCGCAGAGGAGACGAAGAATAAAGCCACGTCTATCATCGAGAACAAGGGCGCTACGAACTACGGCATCGGCGGCGTTGCAGCATCGATATGTAAATCCATCATCTTCGATGAGAAGATTGTGCGGCCAGTCAGTACGTATCAAGAAGATCTCGGTGTGTGCTTGAGTATGCCGGTTGTGCTGGGTAGAAAGGGCGTGGTGAGGGCGGTGCAGATGCCGTTGGATAAGGAGGAGAGGGCGAAGTTGGAGGGGAGTGCCAAGGCTTTAAGAGAGGTCATTGATGCGTGAGGAGGGTCTGGAGTGGAGAAGGAAGTGGAGCGCCAGTGGTGGGAGACGTGTGTCAGCCATCTGATCTTCCAGGTTGAGATGTATAAAAGGTCGACTTTTGTCTGCTCTCACCTTCCTTCCTATATACCAAAGATGTTACTCTTCTTCCAAAACACCATATGGTGATACACATGACTGCGTCTTCTGCTCTCCTTCGTTCTTCAAAACTATCAACGTGGCACCCCATGTTCTCTCCGAAAGCTCCTCTGTTCCAAAATGAACCTCGAAGACCCCCATGGCTTCTCCGTCTCTCCGCGCTACTCTTTACCAAAATCGCCCACTCTTGAATCTATGTGCTCTCCGGAAAGTCCTCTTCCAAAACGTCTAGCAAGATAGACAATGGCTGCTCCGTCTCCCCGCGCTGGCCTCCTCAAAAAATCGACGAGATGAAGTTTCCATGATGTCTTCTGGGATTCCTGTCTTCTGGAACATATCTGCGAGCCGACATGGCCACGTCTCTCTCTCGGTACACTGTTATTTACCAAAACGAAACAGCAATTTTTCAATGTCCTCTCCGAGACTTCCTTCTTCCGAAAAATCGATCGCGCACACATGATGACTGCTTCGCACATTTTATTACCAAAAGATGCCTAGGGACACATGCATGTTTGCTCTGAGAATCTTCCTTCTCCAAAATTCTTCATCGGAACTTCGATGCCTGCTTTCCTCCTCTGTCTTCCTGAACTTCCACCAAAACATACTAGGGAGACTTCCATGTCGTCCCTTGCAACTGTCGTCGTTTCACCCAAGATTCTCAGTTGCCATACTGATGGTGCGCCTGGCAAGTCTTCTTCCTCAAAAAGCCGGCAGCCGTCAATGCCATGGCTGCGTCGCTCGACCTCGGCGTATCTCTGTCAAGATACAAATACAATACACGACCTGGAATGTGTTCTCCGAGACGTTCGCCGTCTTGAACCATCCGTCGACATGTTCAATAGAGTTCAGCGACTCTTTCCGTTACACCAAAAAGGTCGATTTGTCGGGAACATGTCTTTTTTGGTTCGCTTTTTCCAAAGTCCGCACAGTCTCGAGCTCTGACTGCGTCTTTCTCGAGGTCTCTCTTAGCGCAGATCCAACTACCGAATTTTACCACCAAAGCTTCAATGTCCTCTCCGAGAGGTTCGCCTTTCCGACGTGGTTGCCAATACTTCCACTGGATACCTTGGGGTTTTCTAAATGCATCAAAATCGAAAAGGTTACGCTCTATGCAATTCCTCGTCCGTTCCTTCCAAAATCCATTCACATTCGGCCAATGACTGCTGTTCTCCCTCGCTTCCCCGGCACATCATTTCGAAAATACATTAAGCATCTTCCATGCCGAGTCTCCTTGTTGATCCCTAGCTTGCACAGATCACTCTCCTGGAGACTGTACAAAACGCCGATAGTTACCTCCGATGACTGCAGTCCTTCTCCGGGTCTATAGCATCTCATCCCTAGAAAAACAAAGGAGAGATTGCTCCTCCGTATGTCGAGTCGTTGCGTAATCTCTTAAACACAAATCCTTCGACAAGTCCTCCATGTTTTTCCCCTGCCGATACCACCAAAACGGCATCTGACTGACTAGATGGCTGCTGTTCTGCCTTGCCCTTCCGGCGCATAACTCTAACAACTTCTCAAAAACGCATACAGTTCGTCGATGTGTTCGTCCGCAGTCCATTCGCTATTCAAAAACAGCACTTCAAAAGCGCTGAGGCTAGTCGCATGAGACATCTGAGTAACGTGTAAACTGAAGCCTATCGCCTACAACACCCTGTTTTCGGGCTCTTGGGTCGTTTTGAGGCCTATGTATCAGCCTGGGCCTATCTTGAAACGAGAATCGAGGGGTATAAAGTCTTCCCAATTTGCAGACCTCCCTCCTTCTTTACTACTCACCTATTATGGTGTGTCTCCAAAAGTCAGAGGAATCTTCGACATGTTCGCTGCGCCTTGCGCCTGTTCTAAAATTGCAAAACTTCAAAGAGAACTGGGACATGTTTGTCGCTCGTCTGTCCACCGCCTACCACCGAAACTATCATAGCAAGACTATGAAGATCAAAAAACTTCGACATTTCGCAATACACGCCAAAAATATCTAGTCAACAACACATGAGCGGCCTCTTTCTCTCTTTCCCGGAATACTATCTGACCTCGCCAAGTTCAATGCAATACCGACCCGTAGTGGGGTATATAAACCACATTGCGACTCCGTTCTTCTTATTCTCATCAATCCCAGGGGGCTTTTCCAAAAATTCAGCTGCAGAATATCATGTCGCTCTCTCTTCCGGTCTTCTGCACCCAAAAGTCAGAAGCACAGCGTATATGTTCGTCTTTCCTGTGCCCAGCGCCACATATTGGAAATCGGTCTATTCTGGTACATAGGCGTGAAAGACTACCAAGACTTTTACATGTGCCGCGAAATACTCATAAGGTCGAAAACATGACTGTTATCTTCCGCCTTCTTCGGCGCGTAACAACTTCGATGGTTCAAAAGCCATCACTCAAAACAGACATGTGTTTGTTCTGTCAAAAAGCCATGACGATCAGGGAATGACTGTGGAGTAAAGTCAGCGGTGCAAAATGTCGTGTCGACGACCTCATGCTGTCTGCCGGTGCCCCAGCTGCTACGCCAGTGCGGGCCTAGTGCGTCGATGTGATATAAAACATACCTTTCTCTGCCTTCTATCTCTTCTTCATCACACTCCACTGGCTCTTTCTCCAAAATTCCTAATCGTCAGATTTTACGTGCGCTCTTCCCTGCTGTTTCAAAAAGTGCAATTGCACCGTCCATATGATCGCTCTTCTTCGGCTGCTCGCTCCTCAATGTCGATCGATTCGGCACACTCCAAAGATGTCTGGCCGCTAGCACATATGGGCTGCTTCTCCAAAGATTCAGTCACCTGCTTCTTTCAAACATCATTACTTCTCAAAATTGATAGCAGGGAATCTGATGGCTGCGGCACTTCATGGTCTCCAGAATCCGAGTGAGTACAAGTAGATGACGTTGCTCGTCTGGGCCATTAGTCATTCCCTATCAAAACGCTCGAAGATTAAGTAGCATGGAAAGAATAGAACGAGGGCCTGGCTTCGAGCACCTGGACGTCTATATAAAGCTCAATATCTTCTACTTCTCTCTTTATAATCACACGTCGCCTTCGCGCTACCTGAAAACATGGTACCACTCTCGTATGTGCGCGCCTTCCTTTTCTCAAAATCCGTTGAAATCCCAGTCATGTGTTCTGCTCTCCTCTCGCTTTCTGAAAGACTGCAGCTCCAAAACAGGAAGTACAAGAAGTGATGACTTCATCTCTGCCACATTGTAGCCTGGAGGTATGCGCTGTCATTTCGAGCGACATTTGTAAGATTGCGAGTATACGAATGCCTCAAGAGTTCATGATACGTCAACGATACATGGTCACGATGAAGCATGCGGGAATTTATGTATGCAGTAGAGGCGTCGATCAGCGTCCTGGTGCGGCCAGTCAATGTACATGATCTCCAATACTCCGCAATCGAAAGCATGTGCGCGGGCGCATGCTGAACGGCCTGCATAGCTGGCAGCACCAGGTGCGATGGTCAGTCGCAGCGAGCGAAGTTTTCGGTACGGGGCCGCAGTCAGTCGTCGGATGCAATAGTGGGTATGGCCGCGAGGAATACTGTGACACCGATAGCACACTAGGCGGGCTAGAGGATGAGGGCCGTGCACAAAGTGAAGGTGACAAAGATCCGACACGGCGAGAATCTTCGCTCCCCAGCCCGCGCAAAGATCTCGCCAAACAACGACATCCGCGCGCACTGGGTATTCAACTCCAGTGCATCGTTCCCTCCGCCGACATGAAGGGAGGTCTTCGACATCGTCTGCGTCGCTGGTACCGCGAGAAGCGCGCCTCGTTCTCATCAAGCTCCAAGACCACACCCAGGTCAGTCACTCACCGGCCCCGCTCCCATATCGCAGTTGCTGACAGATCGTAAAGCTCGAAAATGCCCTCAATACCGCCCAACGACGCGCCCCGATGTAAGCCAGCAGATCCTGCCCTCGCCAACAGCGCATCCCCTCTGCTCCGGCTGCCTGGCGAGCTACGCAACCGCATATATGAGTACGCACTTCAGTCCGACGACGACGGTTTGAAGTTCGACAGCGGTGTGAGGTCCTATGAGGGTGTGTCCAGCGACGACGGATTTGAAGGCCACAACATCCCACGCTTCATCCCCTTCGGGGTCTCCCGCTCAGATTGCAAAGACCACTTCAATCAGCTGAAATTGACCTGTCGCCAGTTGTACAAGGAGACCGCGGGGCTGGAGCTCCAAGTTAATCGAGTGCACTTTATGACCCACTGGAGTGATAAATTCGGGCCTGGACAACTTTTCCTGACCTTCATCCGGAACTGCGCAGCGACTAAACGGGGATGTTTCCGTGACATCAGCCTCTGGACAAGCACTCATAGACGGATGCCGGAGCTCAGCCAATCGCTTGAACCCAAAGACGTCATGTTCGAGCTGGCCGAATATTGCCGGCAGCATCCTCAAGTCAACATCAGCTATGCCGTCCCGGACTTGGACACACATAACATGTGGATAGACGTCGTGGCGCAGGGCCTGTTTCTAAGCTTGGTGATAGACGGAGAGGATCTACGTTCGGCAGCAACTATCGCCCACAACAGCGCACTCGATGATATGGAGACTGCAGAGTTTTACAAGGACGCGAACGGCGCTGCAGTACTTCGCGTATCAAATTTGAAATTCTGTTTCGACATAGCGGAAAGGCACCTTGAATATTGTCAGAGGGAACTTGCGACCGCACCCTGGCTTGATGCTAGGGTATGTCTTGAGTTGGCGACGAGGTGGACACGGGAAGGTATCTGAAAGGAAAAGGCCGAACGAGTTTGGTGCCTACATTGTGATGGAAACATGCAAAGTAGGTATCACAACGTCAACGTAGCCTCTGGGTCTTTCAGGATTCTTTGCTCGAATGAGGAGTTGGCGCTGTTGTTCTGGGGATGCGTGGAAGGAGGGCGGTGCGGAGAAAGAGATCCCATCAAGCTTGAGACGATGATCAAAGCTTGGCACGCTAGTGTTGGCGCCGGGCATCGGCAACGCTTCCGATCTTCTGCGGGTGTCCACATCATCACGATCACATGAATGATTCTAAACCAACTTCTTGTGCCCTTCAGCCTCGTGCAAACCAAAGTGCAGTTTTTACATCACACTCACGATCTCAGAGCATGTCCAGTGTGCGTCGTCGTCGCGTCGCGTCGCTGCTCGGCCTGACACTCGAGCTTAGGCGTTCACATGCTCACGCGACAGTCCCTCCTTACTCTCACTCTTTGTAGTAAACGCCTGAAACTCATGCCCTGAACATCGACATTATGCGCATCGGTCTTTCTGGCCTTCCCGTCGCCACTCGCATGCGAGAATGAGGTTTTGCGATACCCCGAATCATCAAGCATCATCGGATCGCACGCGTTTTCGATCCGCGTCCGCCCTCTCATGGCATGATACAAGTGTCACACTGTTTCAGCAGCGAAGCGTTTGAGCCTCAACATCACGTCCAAAAGGAGGATGGTAGTTCTTTGTGACTCTGCTCAACGTCCTCGGCCGAGCATGCTGAAGTTATCCACACAATCGGGTGTACTTCGGTTCCCGAGATCTACTCACAGTGTGCTATGGACATGTCAAGTATTCATCGGCAGTTCCATGACCCACCAACGCCTGCATCAATCTCAATGTCGCATGTACAGATATATAGGGTCTCAAAGCTTATGGGGTGGAGAGCTTCACATCCCTTTCACAATCCACAGCAATGGCAGACCAACCCTTCAAAGTTATTGTGATTGGCGGAGGACCAACCGGACTGACAGCTGCTCATGCACTACATCTAGCCAACATCGACTTTGTCGTTCTGGAACGAAGGGATGATGTCATCGTTGATGTTGGCGCCAGTCTCATTCTTGGAGCTCATGCGATGCGGATAATGCAACAGCTTGGTCTACTTGACAAGCTGCTTTCGATTGGGCAGAGAGTGTTGAACAACAAGTCCTTCACTAAGGATGGCAAGAAGTTCGCAGACGGCACCTCCGTCCAGATCGTCAAAGAGAAGTAAGTCCCGGCCAGTTGACCTTCACGTCTTGAACTCCCACTCACCCGGCACAGCTTCGGCCTCGAGCCCATCGCATTCCATCGCGCCGAACTCGTACAAGCTCTCTTAGAAGGCCTTTCCGAAGAAGCAAGGAAGAAATACTATGTCGGCCAGAAAGTGGTCGACATCGCGACAACCGAAACCGGCGTCGTAGTCACCTGCGCGAACGGCACCACGTTCACCGGATCTATGGTCCTTGGCGCTGATGGAGTGCACAGCCAAACGCGCAAGATCATGCACAAGCTCTCAGCAGAAGACCGCTTCTCAGCCTGCCGCAACCCGGAACCGCCGTTCTCCGCCCACTACCGTTGTCTATGGTCCAACACACCGCGGCCATGCGCAGCTGGTCTGGGGAACAACACACAAGGGAAATACCGATCGCTCATGTGGATTACCGGCCGTGAACGCGCTTGGTTATTGCTGTACGAGAAACTGCCAGAACCGACCCTGAAGCCGAAACGATATACAAAGGAGGAGATGGACGAGTTCGCTGCCAGCTTCGCGGACTGGCCCGTCAACGACGATTTGAAGGTCAAAGATATCTACGATAGCTCGACCGCGGGCATGTCAAATCTGGACGAGGGCGTGCTCGAGCATTGGAGCTTGGGACGCATCGTACTCGCGGGCGACGCATGTCACAAGTTCACGCCAAATGCCGGCCTAGGATTCACAAACGGCATCCAGGACGTCGCATTGCTTTGCAACCTACTACACAATGCGACAAAGTCAAGTGCAGGCTCCGACATAAGCTCCGACGCTCTCCAACAGATCTTCCAGGAATACCAGTCTTCGCGGAAAGAGCCAACTGCGTTTGACTTCGGTGTCTCGGCTGCCGCGACTCGCAGTCACGCTTGGGCTACCCCAATCTACTGGTTTGTGGGCAGATTCATCTACCCGCTCTACGCTTTTCAATGGCTTTTGATGAAGTATGTTGTGGCCCCGCGAATGAAGCAAAGTAGGGTGTTGGACTACGTCTTCGGGGAGGACCGCATACAAGGCCGCATTCCATGGGCCTATCCTATCCACACAAAAGGGAAGGATCTGTGATGGTAGTATAGTTGGTGCAGCATTAGTTAATGGTAATGGATTGGTGTTCTATCACCTTCGACAGCACTGAGTGATCGGCGGCCTTGCACAAGCTCTTCGTGGCTGACCGGATAAATACGCGTCAGAACCCACCGTCTCACACCACAAAAGCTGAGCAAGCCAGCAAAACCCACCGAATCGAGTCAGGATTTCACGATCTCGAGCTAACACGTCATAGATTCACGGGTAAATAAGCATTCGCGCGCCGGCTCTTGGGGTTGGCAAAGCTTGAGTATTGTACGGCGGGGTACACTACATTCTTCCTGTCCAAGCTCAACGTTAAGGGCTAGCTCAGTAAGTCGCAGGCAGAATGCTCAAGCGCCCCCCGTCGGTAAGCAAGACATTCCCATTCACATAACCTCCGGCTCTACTAGTGAGGAATAGTATTGCGCCCGCCATATCCTTGATGTTGCCAGCTCTTTGATCGGGTATGAAGTCCCTCGGCCATGTCTCCTGGTTGAGCATGCCCGCGGTCATCTCACTAGGGTATACTGTCGGACGTTGGTGAGCAAAAGATGCATGAGGGAGGAGATGCTTCGACTTACAACCAGGCGCTAGCACATTGGAGCGAATATCGTAAGGCACTAACGTCGTCGCCAACGCCTTCATGATATGTACTGCCGCCGACTTGGAACCAGCATACGCATAGCCCGCCATCGGTACGCGGTTGAAAGCGCCCGCGCTGCTGATACAAATAACCTGACTCTTTTGCTCAATGTTGCCGGCTTTGTTGCCTTTGTCGAGTAGCTCAAGAAACGCAACGACCGTGAAGAAAGTCGATGTAGTGTTTACCGCAAAGGTTTGCGTGAACTCGTCCATACCCCAGTTCCATAAGTGGTCGCGGAATTCGGTGATTGATGCGCCCTTCTCCAAACCTTTGAGGGTTGGACCTTGGATGCCAGAGTTGGCGACAACAAGATTGACGTAGCCGGATTTGGCAGCGATGTGATCGACCGCTGCGGAGAGATCGGATTTGGATGTCACATCGGTCTTGAAGTAATGTATGTTTCCATGCTTCTAAAATAATGTGTCAGCATAGTCTAGACCGTGGTTTCACGAACATACCGCTGTGCTGGCTGCCTGCTTCAGTACTTCCTCTCGGCGCCCTAAGATGTACACGATCGCACCATTCGCCTCGAGTGCTTGCGCTATCATCAACCCGATGCCTATTCATGAATTAATAATCCTGCATATAGGAAAGACCTCTTCCTTACCTGTTCCTCCGCCCGTAACTACAGCTACTAACCCCTTCACATTGAACAAGATACTCGGGTCGAGATCAGCCATGATGGAGGGTTCGTGTATTGGCAGCTAATTCAAGCTCTACCTTATGTAGGAGGTACTGTTGTAGCGAGAGTGCGCGAGGTACGGACGGAGACACCGCAGCTCCGCGAAGTGACAGCGACGCGTTGAAGCTTACAGGTTGAAGCTGATGCATGACTGTGCCCGCTGTAATGCCGGAAAATACCCCGCCCTAACGTCGCTAGGTTTCAGAAAAGCTGATCTCATTCGCTGTCGACAGACATTGCTCATTTTGTCGGCCTGTAACAAAGACGCATCTTTCGAGCTCTTTGGTTGTCGATATGAGTGCTGCTTGGAGAGTGTGGAATCTGGGTTACTGGCTTTTAGAGCATAATGTTGGAAAAGATAGCCCGACTGCGAATCATCTCAAGACACGCATTACTGTTTATGACATACTGAGAGTTCCGAGCAGGTGACATCAGGCCGGGACCAACGCGCACCTGGCATCAGTATCACGAACGCGCAATCGTGGTGAATGTCCAATTAATGCAGTTCGACTTCGCGTTGGTCGCGCGTAGTGAAGTGAGACCAGCTGTCGCGACGTTTATAACGCCTAGCTCAGACGAGCAGTGTTGGTGTGCCATTCTTGTAGGTTGGTGTCGAAAAGAAGGTGGTGATGTTGCGATGGAAGGGTGCGAGCCTCGGATGACACCCTGGAACGCGCTAGCACCGCGTGGGGTAATTAGCGGCATACCTCAATGGGCAAATGCGGGGGTCGCTGCCTAGTCGGACCAATGCAACACCGAGTTGTTCACGATGCGGCGTCGACGTCTTTCAGGAACACGTTTACAACTTCAGCCTCGTGGTATTTGGCTCCTTGCGAATCAGCGACTGCTTCATTCTCACCTTCACCTCACCTATTCTGCTGTTCATCCACAAAATGGGTCTCACCCCGATCGAGTGTCTACCCGTCGAGCTTCTTCAACCCATCTTCATCGCCGCCGACCATAATATCGCGCTCATTCAAGCTTCGCATCACATCGCAGCACGACTGTCATCCGAATACATCTACAACTCAACATGCGACTACTTCCTCACTGAGGTACGAGGCAAGCGCGCCGAGCAGACAGCGGCTCAAACCTTCATATTCGCCAGCAGATGGATGACCTGGGATTTCTTCAAGTCGTGGATACTGCGACGATTTGAACCCGCAGGATGTCTCTGTGGCCTGACGAAAGATGAAGGCTGCTTCGATGCGCAGTGGCCGCCCGACTTTCAAGATGCCACACAGATGGTCTTCTCTAGAAGTCATTTTCCTCGGCTCGCTTTTGTGAAGGGACGCCTACCGAAGAAAATATTCACGGGCTCGTGGACCCAAGACAAAGTCGAGTTCTTACGGTTCTTACTCTGGATTACAGCGATGACTGTCGACTGGACGAACCCTGAAGTTGCGCATGCGGCTGTCGCTGCAAGAAAAAATACCATGCTGGAACGCAATCTTGAGGCAGTAGAGCTGTTCAACCACAATCGACGCCTAGGCCGACCTGCCGACCTGGACACAGTGCGATTCGCTGTTATCGAAGCTGGCTGCGACCGATCCATCGTCTATGACACGCTAATGGCTGCAAACATTCGGCACGGACCTGGACGCCTACGATACTCCTCAGAACTCTACAAATGGTGTCTCTTCCAACAAGCAGAAGGGAACCAGAAAGGTCTGTGGCTGCGGATGAAGCTTGAGGAATCGTGCATCATGAGAAGCGAAGGGGAGGCAAAAGAGGCACCCAACGCAGGTGTCCTGCAGTTGAACGCTAGCAACCAAGATTACGATGGTGGACCAGAAGATACACTTACAGTGAACGATCTTCGTTGGAATAAGGTACGTTGCTATTTCCCTATAAGACTCTGCTACTTCCAATAATTCCTCGCCTCTTCAAGGAGATATCGATCTCCTTCCCAGTAGTGGACATTCGCCAAGGCCGATCATGAATTGCAATCTACCAACATCAATAAAGAGACGCGCAGGACTAAGCGTGCACTAGGCGGTCCCAGACAAAGGATGGCTCATTTCCAGGATGACGGGTTATGCACGTCAGACCATCAATCATAACATTAGTTGGCCCGAGGTCGTACGCTCCCCGGGGTACTGCATGTACCGCGGTCACACCTGTCCTCGTCGACTACATTGCTGGGTTGAACACAACGGAGCCTCACGAAGGGTTGAACTTTGGCTTTCGCCGCCAGCGTCTTGCACCAACAGACAAATGATCATGCGTCGCATTGGGGAGACGAAGAAGTTTTAGGACTCTTGAAATCATAGCTAGCTGGGGTTAACACTAGAGACATCTTCATCATTCCGCAGTGCGTCAGTCTGCTATCGCCGGTGTTTCATGTCCAGCGATTATCCAATTCCACACACTAACACCTCATTCCAGCCTCATCGCTCGTTCGGGTGGTTTGCCGACATTTTCCCGCGACGATACGGCATACACGGCACGACGAGAGCAGATCTAGGCGACTACTGGCATCATTTATATGGGCAACGACGCTTGACTCGCGGGGCTAGTCAGCCGGGATTGCCAGTTCACGATTTTTGGCTTGACATGTGGATCACGCAGACGAAGAGTCGGACTCATGAGCAGAGTGGATAGTCGTGACAAGTTCTTGGGTCGCTGCTATTCTCTGACTCCTCATTCACAACTTGCTCGAACTATCACGTCCAGTAAAGCCATCAATTGGCCTGATCTTCACCAAATCCGCCCCATCTCTCCGGCCATCAACCATGAACTCTTGGTATGCGGCAAACGAATCCCAACTCTGCAGTACGCATTCCACACGCATGCTCTTTGCTTCTCGGTCTGCGACGACTGTAAATGAGTTTACGCCTTTCACACTCTTCATCACGATCTGCGACAGCTCGCTCCACTTTTCGGCCTCTTTGGTGGCGGATGCGTCCGGTTTGGAGGGAATGTTCATGAGAACGATGGCCGGATTTGATGAGATCGGTACTGGTGATGATGTTTTCTTGGTGATGATCGGGCAGTTGTGGACTTCTGGTGGCTGAGCAAGGACATCTCCGGTGGTGAAGAGTCGTATGAGATCTTGTACAGGCTTGGTAGTCAGATGCGCATCACTTGCTGCTTGATTCGCGTATCTAGCAGGGTCAGCGACATGATAATCCATCCGACTTATGAACTTACTCTTCAATCATATATATCTCAGTCCGCGAATTATCATCCACCGGTAATGCGCAGACATACTGCAAGACCTCCGGCTCATGTGGTGTCGTGAACTCGATGATCTTGTGAAACGCGTCGATGGCTTTTTGCCGCGCAGCTGAGTCCTTGAAAACCAGTCTAGCGGTTGTGAGAATAGCTGTCATCTTGAAGCTTGCGCGCGGATATGTGAAGATCGTTCATGGTCGTTTCAATTGTTTTATGGAGGTGGATGCATATACCCCGCAAGCTCGGGATACCAGTTCCGATGCTCGGGATAGCCGACCCGTACCTGCAACGAGACGCTGACAATGCCGTGAGAGTCAAACGTTCCAGAACAAACATGCAATGTAGACGACGACATAGATAATGCGGAGCTCAGTTGAGATGCGATCAACGACTTTGAGGAAGACATGAGTTCAGGAAGCTTGCCGTTACCTTTGGTAACATACCTGAAGAGAGACAGGCCCGCTAAACTCCACTAATGTGCAAGACCCCACGCGACCGATGGCATCTCTAAAACTCCGATCACCTCATAATATAATTCTCTCAAACAGGCCTAGAGCCGACATCGACGTGAGGTCACCTGTTTTGCATGTGTCCATGTTGATGTAGTCTGCAGACATGTTCGATTCTTCCTAAGTTGACGTAGAATGCTATGACCCCTTCGTCGCGCGCACGACCCACAATGGGTCCAAATGATCTGGAAGTCGCTGCGATCTCACAAGTACCGTTCCTTGATCATCAGTAGTGCGCATGCCATTCTCATCCCTCGCGCAAAGATCTACAATATGGACGTTCTTCCACCCCGCAAAATGCAAATAATCGCCAACAAACTCCAGTCGCGAGCGCTCGTCCAGCATCATCCACCTTCTGACCACTTTGTTCGGGAAGCACCGATTGCTAATAACGAGATGAACGCTCCCACCCTCCTTTGTGGCTTCCAAAAGCTTCTTGCAGACTTCGAGCGGGTTGTTGAGGTAGTCGATACTGACAACGCACGTCGTTGCGTCGAATTGTAGATCCTGTCCGTTTTCCCATGCTGTGCGTACATCGTGTGGCGGTTTGTTCAGATCGAGCACACGCCAGCGGTCGGGGCCCTGGAACACGCCATTGACTGCCATTTCCTCCTCATTGAGTCCCACACCATAAACTTCCAAGTCTCCCTTCTGAATCGCTTCTTTCATGGACGGTGGGTAGAACGACTTCCAACTCGTGCACATATCCATAATCTTTCCTGTCTTCGGTAATACAGTATCGTAGTAGTGTGTCAATCGCGCTATCGATGGGTCGTCAATATGCGTGACTAGTCTGGGCTGTCGGTAAAATACGCCATCGTCGTTCTCGTCGTATCGCACGAAGTCCGAGTCGGTATACGGCCAATTATCGTATGTTGGGGCATATGGGGTTGCGGGGAAGGTTGCGGAGGACATGTTTGCGATGGTGTAGCCGGCGAAGAAGTTGAAGGGGATAGAGCGGTTAAGTGAGGAGTATGCGCGCCATGGGGTGGGGAGGTTTGGTCTGAGGCTGCGAAGATAGTGAGCGACTGACATGGGTTAATGGATTTAGGAGGGTAAAGCGCTGGGAGTGTGCTGCAAAAGCGCGTTCGGTTGATGTGGGTGCGATGCGGATGATGACGTCATGACACGCGGACTCACGTGGCGACGCGAAGTGCATCTCGCTGCACTATTGCGGTGGGGTTTCGTTCTTGAGAAACTACAATACTTAGCGCTTCGCAATCTGAACTATGTAATCAATCACTTACGTTGTAGGCAGCGAGGAGGTCCTCGTATTCTTCACGGCTGACATAGCCGTCATGGAAGGCGCGTGCCTCCTTCGCAATCTCCAAAATGCGCTTTTCGCGCGCATTTCGTTGCCGCTGGAAGTACATGTAGGCGCCCAGCCGAAGCGACAGCACCACCAGGATCCCGAAGACCCAGATGCTGCCCATTTTGATGTTTGAGCACTACGTAGTATGAAAAGCGAAAAGACGTCGAAGAAAAAAAGGCGAGGAGACTTCGAGAAGGTTGAGAAGACGTTCGTTGCTACACAAGAAGTGCAAACATGCCTACGATGCGTTTTTATGGAAGTTGCCAGTATGTTCCTTCCCTCGTTACCCGGCTCACGACTTCTTCGTCCCACGCAACTGAGTCCAAACACTCGGTAGACCTATGGCTGTTAGGGAAGGCGCATGTAAGCTGCCAAGCCACCACCACGTCAACCCGAACATCTGTTCATCGCTCAACTCATTCACAAGAATTGCAGCTATTCCGTAACTAACACCACATCATTGAGTCGGTCGCCGATCTCGCAATGCAAACCCTTAGCAACGTCACTTCCTGGTTGGCGCCGTTACTCGGCGCAAACAGCTGGATCAATGGCTTTGGCGAGGTGCTTCCACCGCAACGCGAGTTCTTCTACGTTGGCGGGGAGTATCAGAACCTGTCAGTAAGTCACGCGAAATTCACCACCGCGCTCTTCCTCCCAACTAGATATACTACACCCTGGAGGAATATGCTGCATCTTACCGGGACTTCCTGCAAGACAAACATCGTACATAAATTGGGATGCAGTATCTATTGCGGTCAAGCTAGCTTTGTCTTGCTAAACTCCTAGTAAATGCTAACCGTGTAGATAGGGAACACCACTGCGCAGTACATGGTTAACCAGATCTATGTCGAAAAGCTCACCCCAGCAAAGCCAACCCAAGACTATCCCCTCGTCTTCATGCACGGAACTGGTCAGACTGGAACAACCTTTCTCGATACACCAGATGGTCGACCAGGCTGGGCTTCGTTCTTCTTATCGCACGGTTATACGATCTACCTGAGCGATCAGCCATCGCGCGGTCGTTCTCCGTGGTTGCCGAATACAGGCACGATGAAAAGCTCCAGTACTGCGCTCATCGAGGGACTGTTCACTTCGACGGCGTCGCATAGCCTCTGGCCGCAAGCACGGTCGCACACGCAATGGCCCGGGACTGGCAAAGCAGGCGATCCGATCTTCGACGCCTTCTATGCGTCTCAAGTCCAATACCAGGCCGACAACCTGATATCCGAAGCCGAGAACGCCAAAGCGTACACCGCTCTCCTCGACAAGATCGGCGGCCAGGCGCACATCATCGCGCACAGTCAAGCCGGTGCCTATGGATGGCGAGTCGGAGACCTCCGCCCTCATCTAGTCAAGAGCATCGTCGCGCTCGAACCGGCGGGCCCACCATTCATCGGAAGAATCTTTGGATCAGGTCCAGCGCGACCTTTCGGCATCACTGAGCTTGAAGTCGCCTACGAGCCGTCGGCGGGACCCAATGCGACATACATCCAGACCGTTGTTGTCCCTGCAAAAGACGTCAATTCGAGTGAATGTATCATGCAGGATGAACCGGCGAGGCAGTTGGTGAATTTGGCGCAGATACCAGTGCTGACAGTGACGTCAGAGGCGAGTTACCATGCGGTGTATGACCACTGTACCGTGGATTACATGCGACAGGCAGGTGTGGACGTGGAGCATATGAATTTGAGGAACGAGGGTTTTCATGGCAATGGACATATGTTCTTCATGGAGAAGAACAGTCTAAAGATCGCTGAGAAGATTTTGGCTTGGTTGCAGAGGCATTAAGCTGAGCGAAGGGGCGTGCAGCCCACATTGACGTTGGGTTACCTATTCACATGTTCTCATCCTGATGTAGGCTGCAGCCTTATTCAGGTTCTTCCTTGTGTGGGTGCGAATGCAGAACACGTTAAACACCTGCAGCATGTGGTTTCGAACACGTTTCGTCTAATGGGAAGGAAAAGGGTGCGGTGGCTGGGAGATGATTGGCCAGATGACGGCTAGCGCACCCCAGAAGAGACTAGTCTCCGCAGCGCCTTCCCTTCCAAGGTTCCGCCCATCCAATGTCGCACCTTCTCATCTCCTCAACATCCATCACACAACAACCGCAGTCACACAACGCGTTTTCTTCACGTATGTCGCACATGTAGAACTTCATCATACCAGCACGTTTGCGCAAATTGCTCTCACATGGAACTCGAACAATGGTCCCGCCCCGACCCATGAGAGCCCGGCCACTCACAGCCGTCATGATAGAAACGCTACCAAATTGGGAGACGGTTGCTTGCAACGTTCATCACACACGGGTCTCGTCGAAGACGAACCATGGGAGACGAGACGCTAACGTTTGCCGAAAACTCACAACCTACAAAGACTTCTACGAGCCCTTAGAATTTGTATTATGACCAACTTCGTTCACAATGTGCCTGAACATCCAGATCACCATCGCGAATCCCCTGGATCGCTCCCGTCAGGGTAGCAAACCAGATCACTCAAGCCGACATGCACCAAACATCAAAAAGTCTGCGACACGCAAGAGCAGCAACAAGACGGTGACAAGCAGTACCACAGCGCCCGACATACACTCTTGGTTACAGAACATTTCAGGGCCGACAATACACAGCGAAGACCCGCCTCCTTACACTGCAGAGCAGCCAAAGTCGCGCAAACAGTCATTACGACCACGCCAAAACCAGTGTTCGACGACTTCTCAGTATGAACCAAAGCTCGCCCCGGCAGCTACAACGCGCAGGCTAAAGTGGAAGAAAGCTATCTTGGCCATATGCGAGCACAAGGCCTTCACATGACTCAACTGCGTAGCCTCTATAGCAAATATGGGCCTTGGCTATGTCGATGTAGCCGCCACAGTTACGCAAAGCAGGGCGTAATGCCTCCCTATATCGAAGTAGAACGGAGCTCCAACCGCGCAAAAGCCGTATCGCATTTCCATCTCTTGTATCGCCCCGATGGCATTCTGTTGTCTCTGCAAGACGTCCAGGAGGCACTCGCTGCCTGGGACAGGCCTGTCTGTCCACACCTCAAGATCAACGACACCCACGTCTTCTCATCGTTGACGAGGCATTTGAGTCTTCCGACCGAATGCTTTCGAAGAGATTTCAGCAGGCATGGTGAACATGAGAGGCGAGGCAGCGAAACCATTTTGCAAACCAAGAATATAGAGCTACTGAGGGAGGCGGAAGGGCATTGTGGTGAGCTGCATTGCGACACGCACTTCGGGTTGGAATGGATTTCTGACGGTCGTGGGATTGGGTTTTGGGTAATCCGACGCTTGGGAACCATGTGACCATCAAGCGTTGAAGAGCTCGAACTTGAGATGTCCACCCACCTCAAACTACAGCCTGGCAGCTACAACGCACAAGCTGAAGTTACTGGAAGCCAATTTCGGCCTACGTAGCCGCCACGCGCATCATCAGCGGTCACGACAGCGTTCGACCCACGCACACAAGACTCGCAAGAATACCTCCATTCCAGTCATTATACCGTTATAATTCGAGGCCTACGCGATCAAACCTCCACAATCCATGGCGGAGGTCGACCGGGTCTATTTCCAAAACCACGTCAAGGAGCAGACATATTGAAAGAACTGCATACACAAATTACCAAATCTAACCCGGGCGTATACGTAGACACCGCCAGCACACTCTCTTCCAGTGTGAAGTACTCGAATGCGGTATATAAGCTCTCGAATCCACGCTCTTTTGCTTCTCCACAACTACCACTACCACTACTACATCAACCACAGCAAACAATACTACCAAAAACACCCTACCAGTTTCAAAAGCCTACCCAGTTTCTCAACAAATCCCCTCCCAATTCAACTACCACTTCCGCATACCACCGTACTCAAAAGAACCCTTCCTCGAACCACAAAACATCACCATGTGCACCTACGAACCAGTGTTATACATGGGCTGTGGCCATTCCAAGAACGAGTTCGTCAAATCCTGCCTGGGAAAGAGAAACGGATTCGCGTGCTCAGAGCCAAATTTTCTTAGGGCGAGAAGGAGCACGGGGAAGTGCAATAACCCCTGCAGATGATTGAGGAGAGACCTTCGTCATTTTCCTTCAGGAGAGAAGCGACGACGAGGACAGGAGGATAGCGGGATGGAAACGCGATCTGTTTGGCGGATGACATAGGACATGTTTGATTGATGTATCAATGAATGAATGAATGATGTATGAAATGCTTTTGCTGTGGTGATTGCCGTGCTGTTTGATATGGTAGAGTTCTGATAGCCGCATGTTTGGATATGTGATTAGGGAGAGTACAGCAAAGCCCAATTTGACATGAAGGTCTTCCCAAATACGTGAGTCTCGTTGGAGCGTATACTTCCAGTCACACGTTCACGTATCCTCCAGGAATAAGTGTGAGACTTAGGAATACAGTGTCGCTGCGGTCGCTATCTCATCAAACCGAGCGTTCTCATCGTGCATTCTCAGGGATAATCACAACATGGCAACATATCCACGTTTGATGCTTCAATTATCAACGATCATAAAGACACGATCAACCATTCGTGAAGCTGCATTCCAACGAACATCTCCCTGTGACAGCGGCATGAATGTATAAAGCCTTCGAACTCCTTTGCTTTGATACACAAATCATACGTACAGCAAAGCCTCAACCTCCGTCATACCAACCATCCATTATCAGCAGCACAATATACAACACACCCCCAAGCACACCAGACATCAAATCCAAAGCCTCAAACACCATCCTCCCAACTCCTCTAAAACCATCATGTGCCGAATCCACAAAGTTATCTTCAACGGCTGCGAGTCCAAGTGCGAA